GGGGGCAGAAAGTGGAAATGAAAGCAGACAACAGAACATTGCTAGAGAGCAGGAAAGGAGACAATTTTAGAGAAGAAAATTTTTCGGTCGCTACCCGGATTGGAACCCGGGACCTTTGAATGAGAGGCCAACACCTTAACCTCTAGGCCACGAGAGCCCCCGGATCCTCTTAGGGATGAAATTGTTACAATATGGAATGCTATTGATGTCTGGCCAATACAGCTCATCTTGGGTTTTGTCCTACTGCTATTCTAGTCCAGCTAATGTCCTGTTTGCCTAACATCATGCTTTTTAGTTTTCCAAGTGTGAAAATCCTGGGCTAAAGCAACTGAAATTAGATTGTCTTCACAGTCCCTTCCCATATGAAATTTGATGCAGTTTTGCAAAGCAGAAAAATGCCCAGCCCCCCCAAAATCGGTTATGCTAATATAGCAATGCCAATGAAAATTTAATTTTTCACTTTAGCCCTTTTTTATTTGGTACCTAAGAAAGAATTTTCAATTCTAAGAATTATGCTTCTTGAATTTTAAGAATCGGTTCATAAATTAAAAAAGTTATGGGGTTGTAAAGGTCGGCAAAATATGGATGACCCACATATATAGGAAAATACTCCTAAAAAGTGGACCACGCAGTAACAGATTCTGTAAGAAAATCGACAATATCTCGGTAACTAATCGGAGTGTTAGAGAGAAACTTGGCTACCCGATGTGTTTTTGGGTGTAGAAATCATTTCTGCAGTAAGATTTACTACCCATTTCGTAGTTATTTTGTTATAATTAAAATTTTGGTGTACATATTACGATTTTGCGAAAAAGGGGTGTTGGGATGAGTCCATTTTATTTATAGCATCGTATCACAACATGGGATCTTTAAGAATATATGTCGGCAGTGTGACTAAATAATTGCAAAACTTTTAAAGATGACTTTAGACCATGCTAACCATAAAAGATAAGTTAATTCAATCTAACATGCCGTACAATTAAAAATTCTTTTTCCCCATTGAGACGCGAACACCCCGAGACGAGATAACCTCGCCTCAGAATACCCCCATTGCGATGTTACAGGGGAACAGAGAGAAAAACAACCGGATGCGCGCCTGCCATTGCCCTATTTCAAGTGACCAATGGACGGGCCCGGAATAGTCATACGGGGATTTGTAGGTCACATACATTTGCCGCGAGAGTGAGGGGAAAATGGCCGGTCTCCGATAGGGAGATAGTCGTGCATTTAGGATCGGGTTTAAACAACTACTTGACACAGAACGTTCAAATTTGAACACATTATGGAGGATAGATAGATCTATTACCACCTCGGCGTTGAAATTCAAACTCCGTATAGTTTTCGGTGTACCCGACACGAAAGTGTTCCCGACACCAAAAGTACAGGTTAATTTATGTGTACGAACTTCAACGTCCACATATCGTTAGTTTGCCCTATTTTCTGATTGGTTGCCGAGTTTCATTCGGATTGGTTCGGAAATAGAGCAGACCGAGGTTGACAAAGTTAGTCACCCACGCTTCGGCCGGGTCCGCAAAATCGCCCGTAAATGGGGACCAAATTTTCGCCGCGCGGGAAAGCCCGATTGGCATTGCTAGCTAATAATATGATGAACAAATTGATTGACTTGCAACATAATTTCACTTCAACAGGAGTAGGGCAACAGTGTGCTGCACAAGAAGTACATAAGTATACAAAAACAAGTTTAGAAATATGTACAATAATTTTTACCATCAAATGGTATTTTTGTACTGTGTCCTCTTGACATGATCTGAGGTGAAGTTGACTTTACTTTCTAATGTTCAGGATGTACGTATGTGTGAAGTGTTTGTGTGTTTTATTTTATTTATTTATTTTTTTCATCCAGTTGTATTCTCTCTTTTATTTGTGTATCTGATGTGCTGCCCCAATTAATGTATTTGCAGGGTCGTTTGTTATAATAATGTGCGGATGTTTGAGTGGAAGTGTCAAAGGCCTTTAAAATCAATAATTTTCTGTTCAGAAAAAGTTTTTATAATTCTTTCTGTTGTTTCTGCTGTGTAGGACCACAGTTCAACAGCCAGCAGGGAGGCTACGGTCAACAGCAACAGCCGCAGGCAGCCGCAGGGACTCAGCCGCCATATAGCCAGGCCTCCGTCACCTCCCAGGTCCCGCCCACCTCGAGCCAGCAGGCTGAGCAGTTTTACTCCAGCGCCCAGAACCCAGCAGGCCCACGTGGCTACGCACCATACAGCCGCCAGTCCACCGGTCAGCCTGGTGGTCAGCCAGCTGGCATGGGATCGTCTCAGAGCCCTGGTCCAGGTGCTGGGGACATGGGTGCCCAGAAGATGGGAGCGCAGGGTGGTGGTATGCAGACCATGGCGGGTCCAATGAGTCAAGGGGCGGGCCCACAGACTAGCATGTCAGGTGGGATGGGCGGGCCTCCGGGCCAGATGACAGGGCCCCCCCAGCCAGGCATGGCCAATCAGATGGGTGGGCCTCAGGGGGGAATGGGAGGCCCACAAGGGCAGATGGTACCCCAGGGACAAATGGGAACCCCTCAGGGGCAAATGGGAGGCCCTCAACCTCAGATGGGTGGGCCACAAGGTCAGATGGGTGTACCCCCAGGCACCATGGCTGGTCAGATGGGAGGGCCCCAGTCCAACATGCCTAGTCCAATGGGTGGGCCCCAAGGCAGTATGCCCAATCAGATGATGCCTCAGGGAGGTATGGCTAATCAGATGGGAGGTCAGGCTGGAATGGGTGGTCCTCAGGGTAACATGCAGCCAGGTTATGGGGGCTATAACCAGGCACAGTACTGAGGGCTGTTGGCTCTGCGTTGTGTGGAGTGGCTGCATTTGTTGCTTGCCACATAACATAGGATCATCAATGTTACAAGTGATTTGTTGTATCTTATTACAGCCTAGTTTTACAGCAGATGATATTGAAATGAAATCTTTTACAGTTTGAAAGTGTGTACTAATACATGCTTTTGAATCTGTAAAATGTTTACTTCTAATATCAGGAGTTCTTTTAGTTGCTTAATTCTTTTTTTTAAAAAGCAACGGAAATTATAAGTTTACTGTTATAAAAGATACATGCATTTCTTGTGACATTGACAAGATTAATGTTTTTGGGACCCCCAAGTGTTCAGTACATTGCTCAGATTTCTTTGAGATTTTCTTGTGAGTGGTGAGTTTATCTTTCACTGACAAGTATTTGATGTTTTCTGTTTGTAGATTTGTGTGCACTTATTGTGCTGTTGTAAATTTATGTATTTCTCATATTGAGGGGGAAAAAAGATAAAGATCCTTTGTAACTGCCCTGATGTCACACAGAGTAGCCTTTATAGCTGATAAGAGTTGCAAGAACTCTGAGGGAGACTCAAGCTGCTGGGTTTGATAAATTGCCTAAATCAACCAAAGTTGATGGTTGCTCGAACATATCTGCGTGCACGAATCTACCATTTTTTGCCTGTAATTTTGCGGTCAGGGTTTTCCCGTCAATATATATATGAGAGTTTTATTCAATTAATTTTGTCAGCATGACATGATGACATGTGTTTTGGTGAGATTTGCCGCCATGTTTAAAATTGCCATTGGGTTACTGGAATCAAAGTAACGATTCTTTGAGTCTGACATTTATTTCACTAATTTAGACAAAGACGAAAAGTTTAATTATAATGATAATAAATAGCATTTACGCTGCGCTTTTCCATTTTCTAAAAAAATGCTCAGTGCACATTACATAAAAAGAGACATCACATACTTAAAAATTATGTATAGAGTTAGGAGCCGTCTGGTGGGGGAGGGGCTAATTTTTTAGAGCAAGGTCTTTGGGGGGAATTGAGATAATGTAGTAATAGTTTGGGGTGCTGCCTCTTTGCTTTTTTTGACTTGTATCGTAATGTTTTCTAAGTGAAAATGTTTCGGTTAATGCAAGGACCACTGAGATTGATAAATGCTTTGTTATGTAATTGTGCACATTTGTACCTTTTTTTCTTCTCATAACTTGAGCATATTTTGTTATTTTCTTTCATCGTTTGTGTACTTTTGTGTTTGATTCTTAATGAGTGGATATACAGTAGTCTCCGCCTAAGATCCCACCGCTTAGAATCCCGGTTCGCTTAAGATCCCGCTTTTTTTAGAAAACAGAATTTGTACAATACAAAAGTTATCCTTAAGATCCCGCTCAAAGTCACTCAGAAGGTGTACATTTGGCTAAGATCCCGCATTTCAGATCATAATTTGTGGAACAAAAACCCGGGCGGGACAGCCGATCAACCAATAGTGAAAAGTTGAGATCAATAAACTGTCCGTCGCGGCAAAGATCATCCACTATCGTGAATTTGATCATATACACGTTGTAAAACTTGATGAAGTGATACAACGTTTGCCCCAGACGGGATCACACCGGGGTGTGAACTGACCGACACGTATGTTTTCACTGACCATCGCACTCACACTTGAGCTCTCCCCTAAACTTACATCACTCGCTGGGTGGGTAGGGCCTACCCGTTCGCCCCAGGTGGGATCATATTGAACTGTGAACTCTTCGCTGACCATTGCAGAAGTTGTCTCTACTCCCGATTTTGCGAGACAGCCTGCATTTTAATTGGTGTGTAGCGACAAAGGCGGTTGGGGAAACTCGGTCAGAGATGGAAAGCTATAAATTTTCTACAGGTAAAGGGGAGGGTCAACTGGACAAGCGTAAATCTTGAGACTCATGATACGACAGTAAGTGAAAATCCCACTATGCACTGTGATAGGTCATCAAGGTTAACCACTCTTTGCTCGCCATACGTGATAAACCCACCAAGGGGGTCACGTCAGTTCATTTTAGAGTGTAGGGAGACCATTTTACAGATTGTGAGCCTTAACATGGGTCACCATAGGTTCTTCCCTGGGTTCGTCGGTTAAGATCCCGGTTCGGCTAAGATCCCGCATTTCCTTGCTCCCTGGCACCGGGATCTTAAGCAGAGACTACTGTATTTCCATAGCTGCCCACTGTACCGAGCCATCCGTATTTTGTACCGATTTTCTTGAAAAATCGCTGTTGTCCTGGAAATACGGATTTTGACCGACGGTCCCGGAAAATAAAAACTTGGCAAGCATACTTCTAAAACAGAAAAATTAGCCTTCTGTTGCTCGGGAAAATGACGAAAATTCGGGAGTTTCCCGAAAAATTCAGGAGAGTTGGCAGGTGTGCAGTTTTGACAAAGTCAGCTGATACGCATGCGTGGCGCTCGGCTTCCTCATTTGTTTGAAAAGATGGCGTCAAAACGTTCGGCGATGAGTTCTTAGTCCGACTCTGGACCAAGTAAAGCAAAGAAATCGAAAAGGCAATAAGTTTTTCTTGACAAATACAAGGTGTCCCTGATAATTAATCAATGCCCCTGATTTTGAGTAAGGCTGTCCCTGATAGCCACAGAGAAGGGTGGGCAGCTATGTATTTCTGTGCTGTCTCATAAGATCTCGTTTTAAATGTAGTCGATGCATATTCATGCCCGGGAAATTTGGTTTTCTACCCTCGCTATGTTTTGTATACATGGCAACAACTGTTCTGAAAATGAATCTTTGGAGATGGTTCCAGTTGTTGCAACCTAAATTAGAGGTATTATTTAACCCCCTAATATAATGTCATGGGGTAGCAGCTAATGACGTTATGGGTATTTTTCTGTGGTCTTTGTGAATGTTTTCCATGTTATGGAAATTGATTCAGTTTAAACCCAGAGAAAAGTCTTTAAAAAAGTTCTGTAGTTATTACTCCTTCCCCCTACTTTCATTTGTCACAATTTAGATCATTTCGGAGGCAGGTTTTGGCCCTCCTACCGTGGGCTAAGGGCAATACAAAGTTTCAGCAGAAAGGGGGGGGTGGGTACTTGATAAAAATTCTCCCCACACGGGAATTGAACCAAGGTGTTGTGCATGCTGTAGTGAAATGTCTTACTGCTACACCAGACGCTGATGAAAAGTTGGTAGGCAAAGAGTAATAATGAAAGTGAAACTTGTGGCCATATTCTCTATTTTTGTTTTGTGTGAATTAATCTCCTGAGAAATGTGAAAAGGTTAATGATGGGACTATAGTCACATATTGTGTACATAAAGTCTTTATGTAGTTTGTGATGGCTTAAAGTCACACAGTTATTACTTGTTTTCTTATGACAATGTATTATCATTTTGTCCATCTCTGTTTCATGTTTGATTTGTCTGTGAGAGAAGTCAAGGCAGTTTGACTTTATGAAGTGTCTTAAACTTCATGTAGAAGAGTATTTTTAAATGTCAATCTTTCTTGATTTTTGGAAAGAGTTAATTTTGTATTAAGGGCTATTGAATTATCGTTTACAAAATACTAACAAATTGTAGGAACTGGGAAGGATCTGGTTGTAGCTGAAAGTTACACTGATTGCAGTCATAAAGTGGATAATTTAGAAGTGATCATTTTGCCTGTTTTCATCTGGCTACTAACTTTGAACCCATAGTTAGATTTGTACTGGGCCAGCTCATAGTAGTCCGAAGTTGGTCTGTATAGTTGGGTTATGAAAGTGACCGACACTGGGAAATACAACAAGGTTATTATTCTAGTTGGATTCAAGTTTTTCTTTTTCTGTAGGATTATTAACTTGGGACATGTTTTTTTTTTTTTTTTTAATCAAGGGGGCCCGGGTGTTGTGCCTTAGAAATGACCTGATTTTTCTCTCGTCGGACATTGAACTTCAGTAATTTACCACAGCCATTGTACAGGGTGCATTTTATGTTTATTTATATGCTTGTATATTGTGTTGATTAAGTATATGTTTAAGAACTTTTCACAGAACTGGTTTCAATGGGGGAAAAAAATATGGAGGTGATGAATGAAGCTGTAAGCTAGCGTGAGAAATAAACTGATATAGTGTGGAAAGTGAACTGACCTACATTTTCTTTACTCTCTATGCTGTCATTTCCATTTGTAGATTTTAAATTACAACAACCTTTTGCCCCCCTCCATGGTATACACATTCAATAACTAATTTTAAAGCAAAATTTTGAAATGTTAGAATCAATCTGACTTTACATTTTGTTTAGGCTCACTAGCTTCCACTGTTACATAACTTGCTATTTTGCTTCGGTTGTGAATCATAGTTCAGTTCCTTTTGATTAAGATATTGTTTTCACAGTTTCATTTTGTGCTATCTATCATGACTTTAGATGTCGTGACAGTCATGTGAATGTTATGTGTAGTGCTCTGTTCTAAGTGTTGTAGGTTTTTAGTCTGGTGTGGGACTTATTATTTCTATTCTATGTAAGTTGGCTCTTCAGTGTAATTTTCAAACTTCTCCAAGGGCATTCAAATTAAAGGTAAAGGAAAGAGCTTAGCTTCGGTGGGGTTTTTTGGGGGGGAGCTTTCAAAATTTTTGTTCTGTCTTTGTTAGTTTAGGAGTAGCTACCTTTTTTTTTTGTGAATCAATTTTCTGTTCCTGTTCCAAACATTTTTCATTCCAGTTCATGCAACAGAAAAGAAAGAAAATCTGGATGCAGTACTAGAAATAGACTCAAGAAACTAAATCAAGCAATTAATTGCATCAGATATTTTACCTTAATTTAATTTTGACTTTGTTGTCAACATGAACCTGGACTCTTTATACCACACAATAAAAGGCTGTAATAGGTCTGAGCTTTGGGCAAGGGAGGGGGGGCTCAGTGAAAAAGAAATACCTGGCTCTAAATAGCCTAATTTTTTAAATAATATCAAATAAAATAGGACACAATTTATGATCAGTGATTATAATTACAAAACGCATAAAAATTAACTCTTCAAACTGGTGTTCAAAAATATCTTGACGATGTGTTTCCCCTGTCTCGTACTTTTCAAACAAGGAACAAATGGGATCCGAATGCGCTAGGTGAGCAATGCGTGATCTCACTGCCCAGCGCGAAGTCACAAGGAAATGTTCAGCTAGGAAGATAACCATTTATAAACGTTTTCTTTTATAGCAAAGAATGGTTTATCAACAAGGGTAGTTTAAAAAAAAACAAAGGCGAGTAGATTTTTAGAAATCAATGGTTATAAATTGCCTATTTTTGTATCAACTTGAAATATCTCGGGAGTCGCACTATGACTTTGATAAAAACATATTGAAGGCCATCCAAAGCTCTTGAAAATCCATGTATCGGACTTTGGTCCACAAAATCAATCAAAATTATGTGCAGTTTGAATACACTGTTGAGGTGAAACGTCACGTCCGTAAACAAAACTCAATGGGATTTTCCGAAGTTGAATTGTGCGGCAGTGAGCACGTTCACTGAAGTGCCTAATTGTAGGGATTGATGCTAATGGATTTTCAGCCTTTGTCGGAACTACACGTATAGTGTAAGCAGTGAATCTTTTGTTTTTCTGGATATGGGCCCTTCTGTTTACTGTATAATTCTGTACCTTTATTTAGAAAACAAAAAGCTATGAATTGTTTAGCTTTAATTTTTGGGTACTTTTTGAAGAGTTCTTTTTTGATTTGCAGTAATGACTGTAAAATTAAGGTCTCTGAGAATACTTGGACGAATGTACATTTTCAGTATTGAAATTTTTCTTTTAATTGTGGTCAAAACACGGGACCAGTTTTCTCCCCTTAGTTGAAGGGCATCTTGCTCTTCATGTGTTGATAACTTAAGATTGAAGTTAAAGACATGCTTTCACTTTCTGTTTTTAAAAAAGTTAGATCTAAAACATAAAAAGATACATGCCTCTTGATAAATACATTGGTATGGTGCTATGTAGGACATGAAACTTTCTTGTTCTGTGCAAACTTTTTTGTGTCTTTGATGTTTTGTAAGTCATGAAGTGGAGTCTGTAAACTTGAGTAACAAAATAAACTCTTGTGTAAATTGTTTTTGATCTTGTTTCCTTTGTGGTTTGGTGTGGAAGTTTGAAGAAGGCCTATCTGTAGTTGCTTTCATGTTTGTTTTGTGAACCTTAAGACAAGGTGCTCAAAGCTTTTTGAAAGGAAGTGTGAATGTGTTAACACAAGGTTCTTTTTTAATACTTCCCTTTTGTTTAGAAAAAGTGTTTTGTGGCACTATCAACGCATTAGGTCACTTAAGTGCCCAAGATTAGAAGTGTTACAAGAGAATAACAAACACAAAAATGGAGGAGAGATAAGGACGACAGATGTTTGATAGGAAAGAACGAGCAGCTTTGCAGCAAACCACACCAGAGCACTGGCCAACCGCCCTCCCCATGTACATGTATTTATTTTTATCGTCACCAGTGACCACATCTGTGAAAAATAATGTAGGGACCTCCTATTTGTCCCATTTGGAGGTCGCTATTGAAAGAGTGAACATTCTTGTAGTACCTTTAACGGCCTTTGGTTTTTAAGTTAGGCACCTCACTGCTTTTTCTCCGTTCAACCAGTTGCAAATCGGTTCTTGTAAATCAGCTGTTGCACAATTAATGTGGCTGATAAATAATGGAAACTTACATGCAGGCACCTATATTTTAATGTCAGGAACCTTGTATTTCCTCTTGAGAACTGAGACGACATCCCGGAATGAAGTTGCCAAAGCATCTTCTGGGAATATATGTGTCTTGTCCAGAGGATTACCAGAAGACCACTTAGAAAATGTCTTTTCGAAACCTTTTGAAAAATAGTAGAACCTGCTCTTAACGACCAGCTGTCCAAACCAATCATCTATTGATCTATACAATAAATTATAAACGACCACTTCCCACCACCTAGCATTTTGTTTCTGTCCAAGAAGACTACCTAAGATGTTAACTTTTCTCCTGGGCATTAGGTGGTTGTCTTGGACAGGTTCGACTATACATACCATACAAACACACAATGTACAAACATGCATTGAGCCAGACAGGTTATGATGAAGTTTTTGTTTCAATATTTTTTATTGTAAATGTTATATAATAATATTGTGCAAGTTTGAGAGCTCAAACTTGTCTACATTGTAATTGTGTATATTGCTTGGCTAAAAAGGAAAAAAAACAAAACCCGATTCACATCATGTAACGGATTCCCGGCCCCCATATTTTCCCTTCTTTGTCTCAAAGTTAAATGTCCTTTGTCGAGGAAGAGAAAGTGATTATGTGGAAAAACAAAAAAATATTGCAGGCAACGATGCTATCGTTGATTCGAAAGAAATGAACATGTAGAGAGTGAATAAATATATCGAATCGTATTGCTGGTCATAATGATGCTCTCAGTGTACTCTTTTAGTTTTTCTGGTCTTTGAGTAGCCTTGACCTCAGGTAATCGTTAAACAGCACAAGATTGTATTGCAGAAATATTTTCCCATGCTATTAAGAGTATGAGAGCCAACATCATGTGAAGGTTATACAAGCTTCTACAGAGTGTAATGCGCTGCAGTAGTCTAACAGTGATATTGCAAGAGATTCTACAATGACGAAAATAATATTTATATTTATGCATATTATATCTATACACCAAAACCAGATTGCGATTTAAATAAGAACAATTGATGGGAGAGATCGTTGTGAAAAATGTGAAATAAAAAGGAAAGACTCCAGACCCCCTCCACTCCGCCCCCCATAAAAAAAGCAAAAAGCAAAATCTAACCCCACCAAAAAAAGTTAAAACCCCCTTTCTCCCCGCCCAACACCTTAATTACATGGCTCTTCGACGTCTTTGGCACCCGCGTAAAACATTCTTGTTCGTGGCAGCAAAGCCTCACAGTGCGAGCGTCCAGGAGTGAGTCCTATCTATCTATGCGATGCGTGGGTCCACAGTGAACAGCAGGGACGTGGTGTTACACAGCTGGTGCCGGGCCTCTCTCAACGGTCGATACTCGGCTACACAGAAGGGAAATATAGGCAAAAAAGGCGAATATTAATAATGGAATCAGATGTAGTATGTTGACACGATGTGTTTATCTAAAGGTATGGGTCATACCAATTTTTAGTTTTCTTCTTCCTCCCCTTCCTCCTTATCGTCGTCGTTCTCCTTTTCCTCCTGGTCGTCGTCCTCCTACTCCTCCTCAGAGTGAGAACAGGAAGTGTAACAACGTGGCTGGTGAACGTCTCAGATTTTTCTTGGCGTGTTCACGACGTTCTTCCACAATTAAACTTCGCCCTCTTCCCCGTATCTCTCTCTCTCTCTCTCTCTCTCTCTCTCTCTCTCTCTCTCTCTCTCTCTCTCTCTCTCTCGACTCACACACACACATACGCCACCCAAGCAAAACAAATAGGGTTGTTTTTTTTACCCCAACCAAATAAGACCACCAGAAGCTTTGCAACAGTGATAGATACTCTGTACAGTGTACTATACTGCCACGAATATAGTTCAAAGTTTTTTAAAATTATTTTTTTAACGGGTACTCATTACAACTACAAGAAAAATGTGATACCTTCCAAGATCACGAGTAGCCACTGATAATTCGAGGCTCCTCCTCCTCCTCCTCCTCCTCCTCCTCCTCCTCCTCCTCCTCCTCCTCCTCCTCCTTCTCTTTTACGAGTGTCGTTGATATTTATAACAATAACATTTTGTGATTGCGGCGGGTTTGGGGTTTTATTTCAGGAAAAGGTGGCGGGGCACCTCACCACGGAGTCACTGTCAGGCGCCATGTCTGGTTCCAAAACTTACGCGAGTTGTAGATAGACCAGAACTGGTCTTCGTTGTCGTAGAGGTGCAAGGCAAAGTTGGTCAGCGTCTTGTAAGGGATCCACGTGTCTTTCATTCTGTTCACTTTCTCATCCACTGTGGAGTCCTGGTCGGAGTTGATAAAGAAATCCATTTCTAGAACTTGTTCCAGATATTAGAGATTTACGGCACTTGCAAAACAATAAGGTCGCATAAGTGCCAAACATTACAGGTGTTAGAATTAGAATTAATAACGAACACAAAAAAGTGGGTGGTTGGTGGGTGCTCTGGTGTGGTTTGCTCCTTCTTTCCTATCAAACACCTATCGTCCTTATCTCTCCTTCTTTTTGTGTTTGTTACTCGCTTGTAACACCTCTAATCTTTGGCACGTTTATGGCCTTATTGTGTTGCAAGTGTCGTAAAACTTTTACTAAAAAGAACAAAACAAAAATTTACCCCCCCCCCCACACACACACAAGGAAGAGAGATAAGGACGACAGATGTCTGATAGGAAAGAAGGAGCTACCCGCACCATAGCACCCGCCAACTACCCAGTTTTACTAGTACGTGTACCCCCACAGTTCCAGATCTACAGGTCGATATGATTTAAAAGTCAATGGTTCTGTTGCCGAGAACTGTTTTAGTTTTACTTTGGTTTTCGGAAAGAGAAGCACATTGACACATTAACCACAGCCATTTTAGCCATTTAGTGCGAGGGAAAAAGTAAAATATGTTTTGTTTGAATAAAGAGGATCACATCAAAACAATAAGGACCAAGAAAAGATATGGCACAAACAGATATAGCAGATGGAGCCCAAATGAGTAGGACATGCTAGTTTCACGGTTCAACTGCCCCAATTAAATCTGTCATAGTCATAGCAGAAAAGTCAAGCACGCATTCTTTACCCAAAGTTCCTGTTCTATCCCCCACGACCTCTTAGTTTAGTTTTAGTAAGAGTTTTACGGCACTTGCAACACAATAAGGTCATATAAGTGCCGAAGAATAGAGGTGTTACAAGAGAGTAACAAACACATAATAAAGGAGGAGAGATCAGGACGATAGACGTTTGATAGGAAAGAAGCAAACCACACCAGAGCACTCGCCAACCATCCACCACGACCTCTTAATCCCACACCAAGACACACAGTTCGCAAGACAAGAACAAGAACAACAATGACGAGGACGACAACGACATAAACAAAGAAACTAAAAGTAGGCCTACATCAAAATTTAGCGAAAACAAAACCAGGACTACAATAAAACCACCCTAAAATTTACTTTGACCTTCAAACGTGTCCGGTCCACATTTCAGCATCAACCCGCAACAGAAGCCTGCAGCAAGAATAACAACAACAACACCATCAATAACAACACCGATAACAACAACAACATCAATAACAACAACAACAACAGCACCAAGAACACCAACATCTTCAACCCCCGGTCCAGTGCTACTCACTGAAGTGTCTTTAGGCCATTTCCAAAAAAAAGGGGGGGCATTAACATCTCGAGTTCTTTTAAGTACAGTATACTTGTAATTTTAAATGGGCTGGTTCATCAATGTCACGCTCATAACTGCTTGTGACCCGCTATTTCCGGGGTGCCTTGATAGTCGAAGCAGACTTTGTTCTGTTGAAGCTAGAGAGGCGAGCAGAATAGGTCAGATTCCCTGTAAGGACTTCCTGTTGACATCCACCCCTTGGCGCTCATATGACTCATGACCTTATGCAGTGGCGAGCGCCGTAAAACCTGTACTAAAACAAAACAGCAACATCTTCAGGCACTCACCTTGACGAAGACCACCCCGTGGTTGACACAGCGCGAGTCCAGGAGCTTGGCGGCCTTGTCGATGTACTCCGACTGGAGGTACGACTTGCTCTTGATGTCCGACAGCTCCATCCAGTTGAACGTGTTCTTGCCTGCTCGACATAGGGAATAATAATAAATTATAATAATATCACGAATGTGTGACGAACTTGTTTGTTTTAGTAAGAATTTTACGGCATTTGTAACACTTCATAATATGTATTGGGTCATATACAAGTTAGTGCCGAACAACGAACACACAAACTAAAAGGAGGAGAGGAAAGGAAGATAGCTGCTTGATGGGAAAGAAAGAGCAACCCACACCAGAGCGCACGCCAATCACCCACTTTATTTATTTATTTATTTATTTATTTATTTATTTATTT